GTCTCGGCGCCGCCGTATCGGCTAGTCTGCGTACGTAACATACTAATAATTTATTTGAAATAATTTCAAATAAAATTGAATCTTTGGTAGTAAGGCTTCGTGAGAGGGATAATATGTCGATTGGAGCAATTTCGGAACACCGTAAACTTATCAAAATCAGCAATTTTTTATATTTTGAAACGCATAAAGGATCCTCGACCAATAAATTAAGGAAGTCAACCTCGCATAACTAGTGTAAGGTTAATTACATTAATTAGATTATATTGAGTAACGGGAAATCAATAAATAAGATAAACTAACTACAATTGAATAAACTCATGTTTAGGACGGACCGAAAAATAGTACGGAAATCTGTAAAGAATCCTATGTTAGCAGCTCCTGAGATTCGCGAGGGTATTGAATTATTTGATATCAGGGTACGAACGCTTCAAAGACGGCTTAGTGCAGCTGGCTTACACGGAAGACGCCCCGCGAGGAAACCATTAATTTCTAAAAAAAAATGTGAAATAACGTTTATTGTTTGCACGTAAATATGTTAATTACACAGTTACTGATTGAAAAAAAATATTGTGGAGCGATGAATCTAAATTTAATCGGTATTCGAGCGATGGGAAAGGATACGTTCGCCGTCCAATTAATAAACGATTTGACGTAAAATACACGCAAGGTACCTGTTCCATCGCGCAGGTACGGAACGCATGGGGTCTTCGTTGACCGGGTTTATGGCACGCTCGCACGAGAAGGTTATTTTTGAGAACAAAGACGCTTCGTAGCTCCGCGAAAAAATAAGTCATTTCTTACAGAACAATGCCTTTAGAATTTCGACTTTTCCGCGTCCTCAATAACCGAAGACGTGTCATAAACCAGGTATTCCTGAAGGGTCAATCCACACGCGCGTATAACGGCACTCTCGGCCGAGGGTTGACCTGGCGGGAATTTCCGACACGTCACCGAAGGACAGCGAAGATCCCACGCACCCGCAGGTAGGGCCCCACTCCTTCCAAGGAAAAGCGCGCCAAGGGCGCAATGGAAGGGTGAGTGCCACTCAAGGGGCACGTTGATTGGTAATTTGTGCGTACGTGAAAAACCAATCAGCGTGCCTTCTTGCACTTGGCGGGGGAGTCACGGAGGACTCCAGAAAAATTCGGAATCGAGAGACATTCGCAAGGAGTCACTCGTGTGAACAACACACACACACAGTTAAGTACAATTCGAGTCTTTGAAACAAAGTCGTCAATCGTTTCGTGACGCACTCTACGTTTTGCTACGTATCAGCAAAACAAATTTGAACTAGTTACCCAAGATTAATTTGGCGGGTAACAGTCGCGACCGCGAGCTTCCTTTTGAACATCGCAAAAGAACGCGACGCGACAGTACCGTTAAATTTGGCGGCGGAAATGTAATGGTTTGGGGTTGTTTCTCGTGGTACGGCATTGGTCTTCTTTATCGTATTAATGGTAAAATGGAGCAATTACAGTACTGAAACATCTTAGAAAATACTGTAGTATCGGGGCCTCCATACCCAAATAGGAAACCGACAAGTGACAAGGGAGAAACATTTTCGTCGGTTCCTACAATACAATGTTGCTTGACAACGATCCCAAATATACGGCTAAAACAGTTAAAGCATGGCTGAAATATAAAAAGATTAATGTTTTGGATTGGCCTGCACAATCACCAGAATGTAACCCCATAGAAAGTCTATCGTAAAGATAATTTAAGAAAAAGAAAGAGAAGAAAAAAAAACTTTTTACTCCTGCTGGATTCAAACCCTAGCTAAACGTGTGGTAAGCAAAAACACTACCGCCGAAACCACGGCACCTTCTTAGATACATACAAAGTACTAGGTTCTAGATTCATACTAGGAACTAGGTTCATACAAATGTTTAAATTAAAATTTCTAACAAACGAAGGTCCATTGGTGTACTACAACTTCCACATAGGGCCATTCCAAAAGCGATTTCCACACCTGTGCCTTCCCCTTGTGAGACGATTTATTTGCAGAAATACATACAGTAGTGCACACATAAGCGTTCGCAGTCGGGACCGAATGCGGACGCTTAAGTGGGGAGATGACTTCTGCAAATTTAACTAAAGAAAAGAGAGGAGATGTGGCTGAGTGGGATACCGACATATCAAGTGTCAGTTGCTCACATTCAGGAGTCGATATCGAATTACTTTGTTTCACTCGACACGCTCGAACTCCACTCCAAAGTCCCATTTGCAAGAATTGGTAGGGATAGCGACGGACGCTTAAGTGTGCAAAAATGCTGACGCTTATGTGTGCACTACTGTATATTGAAATTGGGATTGTTGATCGGAATCATATCTGAGAAAATTATTTAACAGCATGTCAAGAAGATGCCAGGCTGTTATTGACTGTTAATGCTTTTTATTTAAATCGTTCGAAAATGTGTTGGATTATTACTAATAATAATGCGTCAGCCAGTAAGCAAAAATGTATTGTGTTTATAAATGAGAAACACTGCTAGTGAAAGAAACGTAATAGACTGATGTATTCTTGGTCTCTTTTTCTTAAATGTGCAACAGAATTTCAGTTGTGCCCTTACGTTTTTGTTTCCTTACACTTCGCTACGAAATTCGAAGAGTAAAGACGTCCTTCCGCGCCATACAAATAAAACACATTTAAGAAAATTTACAGTGAACGCTATTTATTAAACCCATTATCCAATAAAATGTTTGTCTTATCCTATATTTTGCTCAAATATGTATAAGTTAAATATATTTTTTAGAAATATGCTTTAATGCATACTCTTGTAGATCATTAAATTCTCTGTTGTTGTGCGTGATTACTATTTTTTCACAACTCCAAAAGAAATATATAAAATTGAACCAAATACGAAAAACGTTCGGAAACTTTTGTCCGCAGCTGTAAGTACTTTCGAATGGATATGTCATAAAATACAGTATATTATTCTGCCACACCAACTCAATCTATTGTTCATCTTCAGAAGTATAAAATATAACACGAACATAAGTGAAATATGAAAATACATATTTATTGGAAAAATAGCCGAGAGTGCGTTAGTGTAAACGTAAAAATACTGTTCCCAATAAATTCCAACTGCACTTCATGGATACGTAATTGAAATTGGAAAAATAAAAGCTGAGCTTAATATTTCGTAAACACGCACATTGAAAAACAAAGGAACAATATTTTTGACTTTATTTTCTTTTAGACTTTGCTGATCTGATTGCGGCATTAGGATGATTCCACCTCAAATCGAACACTTTCAGACGCCGACATCAGGGATTTTGTTCCAAATGAAATATAATATAGTACACGTGAAATTGGGGGGAGGAGGGTTGTCATCATTTAATTGGTTTCAAATGTGTTTAAAAAATACGGATCTTTAAATTTTACAATTTTTGCCCATCTTTATAAAAACGGGCTGTGCTTATCAATTGTTATCTCTGAAACTATTGGTCGAATTGAGCTTTTTTTTTTAAATTTCAATCTAGAAGGATGACCCTATTATAATGATATTTTTATTATTTTTGAAAAATTATAAACAAATTCTTACTTTGTAAATTTCTCTGTGATAGGCTAGAGGTGTTCAAATTAAAAAAAAAATATGGTCACATTTCTTAAAATTCTACCTACAAAATGAGCCCTAACGCAGGTTAGAGAGTTTAAAATGAGCGTTACAACACGGAAAATGACTGGTGTACCCCCGTTTTAGATAAGCGGATCTCAGGGGCCGCGAC